TGCACAGATGGCTAGTCCTTCGCAGACATTTTACGCGTAATTGAACCTCACATGTTATACAATTAAATAATTGTGTATGTAAATTTCTGTTTTTCGTACAACACCTTTTAATTTAATGTAAAGAGATAGATCAAATGATCTGAAAACATGCATACAAATATTTATTCAGACCTATATTTAATGGTATACAAATCTCCAAATATTTCCAGTCAGGAATCCAATGTTTCTAACATGAACTTCTAAAATTTACAATTGATGAGATGTAATGTCAATGTTCAATTTAAATTTTTATATGTCTACATTTTAGAAAATAAATATATATTGGCCGGGTATATCAAGTATTAAAGACAGACATGTTAACATTTCACTATTTGCATACGGGAAATTGATTTGTCTTATAATTAAGATTAACGGAACTGGTATGTTTTGATATCACGAAATGTAGAATATTACGTGCCAAACGTTAATTTCTTATTAAAGATATGGAATGTTTTTTTCATGTCTCGAAATATTTCTATCAGATAAATTGATATGTAATAATGATGTATGGACAAGGAAGAGCACTGACATGTTTATTTAAGAGTTGATCTATGTTTATTAATTATTGTAACCAAACTAAGTGACAAACATTCATTTTGGAAAAAAAACTTATTTATCTGTAAATATTTAAATATTTGTTCTGTTCTGTAACAATATCAAACATCTACTCCAAAACCGGGAGAGACTTGTGATACTATTCGCCGGTCATTAGTAAATCCCGGTCAAAATAGACGAATTACCGATAGGAGTACATCCCTCTATAAATAGATTTTCAGAATGTAAAATTTAGGTCATCAACTCATCATTCTATTTTAACATACCATAATAACCCACTGTGTACTACAAAATGATAAATAAAAAAACCGGAGAGACGGAGAAGGTTTTTTCATTTAAAAATGTTTGCATTGCGAAATTCTCCAGTTCGCTATTCATTGTACATATCGCGACATTTCATTTTTAATTAATAATAATCAAGAACCCTCATACCGATCGGAGTGATCGGCTTTTATTATGACCGACTAAAAGGCTCGTGAAGTTGCTGTCGCCCTTTCACAAAATCTGATTTCATTCCATAAAGGGCGCCGCGCTTCGGCGCGGACGCCAGTGGTTATGTTAAAAAAAAAAACGTGAAAAAGTTTTATTTCTGCCTTTTGTCATTGTCATGTCAAAATTTGTTTAGGTCACTTAATAATATAATAACATTGTTATTACTTATTTGTTTTATTTTTCATCAGCAAATTTTCTTATTTTGGGCGGGTTAAGTACTATATTTTGACCTTCAACATCATGGTTGGATATGTAAGCCGGGCACCTTTACAACATTGGGTTGTTCTTATACGGCGATTGATCATAAAAGTGTGTTACTTAATTAAACAACTAAATTAATATGTTTTAAAGTATTCTAAATAAATTGAGATATGATTTAAAATCCAAACGTGATTAAATTCAAACTTTCTGTCCATGGAGGATCTTATAAGGTGGTTCATTAGTTTCCCGATTCTATTGTCGTATATGCATGGTGTCGTTCAATCGGAATTATTGATTGTTATTTTAAACAATTTAAACACTACTACTAAGCACTTACTTTACAAACGGATATGAAACTGAATATTACATACTGATCACTGATCACAAGGGTAATTTAACTATGACTTCACAACATTTCTTGGAAATTATCAATTGATTATTCAGAAAAGGAATTTACGATCAAATATCACAGATAACTTATATAACCTCATAATTTTTTATTCGCAAAATCATTTAAGTTTAATGGTCACAAGTTAAGAAGCACAACTCTTGTAGCGAAATTGTACCCAAACCCCACTGAACAAAATTTTACAAAAACAAAAAATTTCTTTGAACGATTTTTTACTTTTGGAATTTTAAAATAAGGACTACTTTAAATTATTTCTTTTTTTTTCCCTTAAAATTTAGCACAATAGAAAGCCAAAAAATATTTTCTTTGAAGGGACTTTTTAGCTTCTAATTTACTAAAACCGTTTTTCCCTTGATTACTTTAAATTTTACCCTTTATCCCCTGAAATCTTTTTCCAAAGGGAAAATTTTTGTTTGATTAAAATTTAAATTGTTGGGTTTTTAAATATTTGGGAATTTAAAATTGAAATTTTGCATTTGGCCCAGTACCGTCCAGGGAAACCCCCCAATAAAAGCAAACCTGCCAACTTTTTCCCAATTTTGTCTTTTGGCTTTTTTTTGGGGGTTTCCCGTCTTTCTCAAATTTTATAAATTTTTTACTTATTAAGCACTGTTTACTCCTTTACCTCACAAGACCACTAAATTGTACTTGCATTGTTATATATTTAAATCCTGGCTAAGCCAACTTTAGGAGCGTTTCTCCAAACGGCAATTTGTTAGCCTAATTGTTACATAAAATCTTCCTCTAATTTTAATTGTTTAACTTTGAAGGATTTTGCTGATAAGGTACAATTTTAATGCAATATTTTGCTAATTAATTAATGTTCAGACAAATATTTTTTATTCCTACAGACTTTATTAAGAATGATTTTTCTTGTCTACTTTGATTCCTGTCGTTACATCTACAAATTGACTGGTATGTCGTAAAATGCACTTTAAGTTAGTAAATTATTAGACCCCCTTTTATGTTCTAAAATTTGCGTTTTAGTCATTAATTGCACTTTAAGTTTTCGAAAATGCTTTCAATACCATTACAAACGGAAAGGATTGATCTATTTTGACAAATTAAATGCACTTTTAGTGTTAAGATCCAAGAATAACGTATAAGTTTACTTTATATTTCATTTCTAAGATAAATAAAAACACTGTCTAAATTTCCATTTATAAAAGTAAAGCACAATCTGCTTAAAAGGATTCTGATTATATATAAAACAATATATTCATATGTTTATGCATATTTGTAGTTTAAATTTTAATGTTATTTGCTATTACCCGTCTGTCATTGTGACAGAAATACGCTTACTTGTTGTAGAAACATTATATTAACTTCCTCATCATTTTGTCTTTAATTAGTAAAACATCACCCTTTTTTTCTTGACATGCAACAAGTCATGAATTAGATATCTTACATAGATCTCGAGGTTTATTTGAATAAGATGAACATACTTAACAGTAACCGTTTATGTTTCTTCTGTCTATGTGATGATTTTCTACGTTTCAACTTAATTTAATAATCATTAATTAATGTTTTCTAACTGTACTCTTGTCTCAAGTTTCAGAGATATTAGAATGAAAAACATTTACGTTCAGGTGTTTATGTTTTAGCAATTAATTAGTTGTTCTACAAAATTTCATGTAAAATAGCATACGATATCCATACATCATTGTAAAATATAATAAAACCCCTCTCTATTTTTGAAATGTCAATTTCCCATAGGCCCCTAACAATTATTATACTGTTAATAAAAATTGTACAACGTGACTAAGGAATTTGTACTTTTATGTACATAGGTTTATTTTCTAAAAAAAAACAACAATAACATGACCGCTTATTTTTCCGATGTGCATCATGAAAGGGTATCAACAGTGACTATGAAAGATGAGCAGTTGTTTGCACTTAGAGTGCTTTCCGCGTTTTAAATATCTTTTGGTTTAATATTAAAAAAATAAACAATCCGATCTCTTCGTTATTGCATGGGATTAATATTATATCAAAATGGAACAAGCATACGATTTAAGCATGCTGCAAATGTTTCTTGAACGAATCCAATAAGCAAAACATGACAGATGTAGGGTAGCATCGCAATTTTGTAAAAGCAAATTGTCAAAAACCGTGTGAAGAATATTCTGAATATAGAAGTATCAGATTTCATAGATCATAGCCGTATGAATGGGTTTGTGTTTGGATTTGCAAATGAGACACAGCTTATTGTGTGTTTATTACTGGTAGATATCATCAGTTGCTTAAAGAATAAAAGAAAAAATATGTCCTTAAGTACTACATCTTGCAAGGTTTTTGTTTGTTTTGGGGTTTTACGTCACATCGACACAGTAAATAGGTCATATCGCGACGTTTTCCAGCTTTTACTGGTGGAGGAAGACCCCAGGTGTCCTTCCATGTACATTATTTCAGGCACGAACGGGGGCACCTGAGTAGAACCACCGACGTTCCGTAAGCTAGCTTAATAGCTTCCTCACATGAAAGAATCCAAAGTCCCTATCGGAATTCGCGACCCACAGCGGTGAGGGGGCAAGTGGTTTCAAGTCAACGACCTTAACCACTCGGCCACTGACGCCCCCTATCTTGCAAGGTAAAGTAGGAAATTGTGGTGGAGATTCAGGTTTTACACCAACATTGAAGACAAACTTTTTTATTTCTTTTTCAATAAACACTTTATTTTTAATTTCTAACCTTTTATAAACTTTATAATTCTCATTTCAACTAAACATAACACACCGTGTATATTCCAATGACTGTAATGTCCGAATCTAACAAATGCTGTGAAAGGGCGTGTTTATGTAGGCTAATTTACCGCCAAAATATAACATTACAAGAAAAGCAAGAAAAGTGAGAAAGTGTGGCGTGGAGCAAAGCATAGAAGTATAATTTTCCCGCCTTTCTTATTTTTGGCGGGAAGTTATTATGTACAAAGACGAGGAGCAATAACATATAGCTCATTCATTGATAATAAAATAAACAAAATAATCGTGTATTTCACGACACTCCCAGCAAGGAGGCTAAGGTAACAAAAGATCGGTAACAACTAAGTAAAACATAAATTATATCAGTCTATTTACTATTCTGTGTACAACCAACTATCATTAGTCATATACTGTTCAGTATGTATTAGTTCATCTCCTCTATAGGTATACACTACTTCAGCTATTACTGATGTTTATGACTCTTACTCTTCTTATGTTTTCTGGTATGTCAACATTTAAAAATTTCAACATCATCATCGTTTGTCACACTAATTTCTTCTGTGGCGCTTGTACTTCCTGTTTCAGCTGTTCTACTATCATTTTCATCTTCTTCCAATTTGCACTTCTGTCTCACTTTCTACCTCATCCATTTCTTCCTCATATTCAAATGTATCTGTTTTTGTGCATTGTTTTTTGTCATCTTCATAATTTTTCTCATCTTTTCTTTTTTCATTTCTTTTCATATTATAACAGGTTTCACCAGTAACTTCCTCGTCGCTAGGAATACTTGAATAGAAAGTGTTATAAATTTCATCCATCTAATCATCTGCATTAAATACAAATTCATATTCACTCTCTATGTCACTTTTATACTTTACTTCTACCTCTTTTCTTTTACAGCTTTCCAATCCTCTTTAATTTTATGACCATCACAATTATTTAATTCATCACTTCTTGAATCACTTTTTGAATCTCTGTCAATATTACTTGAATCACTATTTGATTCACAGTCATCATCATTTGCATCACCTTTTTATCAATCACTTCACTTTCTTTTTTATCACTTTCTTTAACAGCACTTTTATCATTATCTTCTTTATTACTTTTACTTGAAACAATATCATCACTATAATCGCCACTGGAATCACTAATTTATTTGGACACTTTCATCACTTTTTGAAGAATAGATAGATCATCATATCATATGTAAGCCTTTATATTTAGCACAATTTACATCACAGGACACATAAAACACACACATAAAAACATTAAATTATACACCAGAGAACAGTTCAATAATCACTTTAAATCCAAAACTGTCAAGAATTTATAAATCAGGACACATTAGCACGCAAATAAATTGTTGTCAATGTACTGTTCATTAGAGAACACTTCAGGAATCATTATTCATTTGTAATCATCTCCTTAATACTTTTGCTTTGCACGAGCTGCAGCTTTACGAACTGCGCGATAACTTTGCTCCTCTTTCGACTGAATAGGTGAAGATCGAATTTGATCATTTATCAATTTCGGCAAATCTCTTACTATTACATTCAATCGGATATAGCAAATTCAAAGGTCTGCCAAGAACTTTTCCTGATGCTATTTTTACTTTTGCTGATCTGATCTGCCCATCCCGACTTTGAGGTAACTCACAGATACGTCCCATTTTCCAAACACCGCGTGGCAAATTGTCTTTAATAAGAACTACATCTCCATTTTGAGCACTATAATGGGATTGTATTTTCTTTGACTTCGGTTCTGACTGCATCCGTTCACGAAGACTAATCAAATACTCATCTCTCCAAATTCTCCAAAACTCATTTAAAATATTTTGTCCCTTTTTCCACATTGCTAGTAATTTATCACTTGTGCACTCACTAGGTGAATAATCACTGTCTTTGTTTTTTTTGTCTCCATTTCTGGAATGCCCAAGTTAGGGTTAAGGCTCAAAAAATGGTTAGGTGTAAGTGTAATATTCGAGTTAATGTCGTCGGTGACATATACAAGCGGCCTTGATCTCACTGTTGCCTCTACTTCTTTCAACAATGTTTGCATTTGTACTAAGGTCAGGAATTTATGTCCTAGAGATTTACGAAGAGATCGTTTTACGATTCCAACTAATCTTTCGTATGCTCCTCCCATCCACGGAGCTAATTCCACAATAAATTTCCATTTGATTCTAGTATTGGCTACGTAAGATTGCACTTCATGACTTTGGCACACATTTCGCCATATACTATTTATTGTTTGACTTGCTGCCTTGAATTGAGAGGCATTATCGCTAATAATTTCTGCAGGTGTTCCTCTTTGAGATATAAATCGTTTGAATCCTAGTAAGAATTCCTCCGTAGACATTTCTTGTACAAGCTCCAAATGAATAGCTCTGATAAGGAGACACGTAAAAAGGCACACCAATACTCTCTTGGGTCCGTCTTTTGTTTTAATCGACAGTGGACCAAAATAGTCAAGTCCAACTCTTGAGAAAAGAAGTGCTTCCTGAACTCTGGAAGGTGGCAAAGGCGCAAATGCAGGCATCTTATATGGCCCGCCTTCAAAATAACGGCAGGTCGAACACCTACCTAACACTGATTTAACAACTGAACGTCCTTTAGGAATCCAAAATTTATATCGAATTTTCGAAAGTGTTTGAGAAACTCCTCAATGACAATTTTGTTTGTGTACCTTTTCTATTATCAGATAGGTAAACCACTCATTACGCGGAAGCAAGATCGGTTGTTTCGCTCCTTCAGTTATTCCTGCATTTTCAAGTCTTCCCTTGCTCCTCAAGATTCTTTTAGGATCAATAAACAGACCTAACTGTCTTTGTAGGGTAGTTGTTTTCTGATTATATATACCGCAGATAGTTTCACTGAAATTTTTTCGTTGTAGGTATAGGATCCACATATTTTCCGATGTTTCCAATTCCTGAGATGTTAACGACTGGTTTTCACACTTTTGCTTTTTAATTTTCTTAATGAATCGTGAGGCAAGAGCAGTAGTACGAATCAATTTGTCAACAGAAGAAAACTTGGTACTGTCCATCCCAAATGGAGCACAAATATTGTCATGATCATTAATTGTACATGCAATCGACAGATTTTCTTCATCAAGAAATTCAGTTTCAAAGTTTTCGGAGTTTCTTTCCACGACATTTGTGCTCTCAGTAACTGTACTTGAATCTTCAATTAAATTCTTCGCTGTTTCGGAGGACAATTCGAAATATTCTGTAAGCCAATGAGGACCATTCCACCAAAATTTGTTATTGCGTAAGTCATGTATTGTTGCTCCTCTTGTTGCAACATCTGCTGGATTTTCTTTTGATTTTACGTAACTTATCTTTGTTGTAACATATGATTTTATTTCTCTGATTCGATTACTCACAAACACAGGTAACTTTTTAGTTGTTTGTAACCATCCTATCACACATTGTGAATCCGTCCAAATATATGATCCTTCAATCTCCAATTTTAATTGCTCCTCTACAAATTTCAAACACCTTACACCTGTCAAAACACCCCATCAATTCTAATCGAGGCAATGTCATTGTTTTAACAGGTGCTAGTCGTGTTTTTGCAAACACGAGGTCGACTTTCACTTCACTACCACATTTCTGATGGAGATAGATAGTAGTAGCGTACGACTTCGTTGATGCATCACAAAAGCACAGTAAATTGTAGGTAATGTTTTCATTTCTTTCCATTGATAGACACCTTGGAAATGAACACTCTGAGATTTTGCATATGTCTAATCTGACATCTGACCACGCCTCTTTAAATTTTTCATCTTTTATCACATCATCCCATGAGAGTTTTGTTTCCAGAGGTTTTGGTAACAATAATTTACCTTTAAGCAATACAGGTGAAAGCATTCCCAACGGATCAAAAACTGATGCAATCACCTTGAGAACAAATCTTTTTGTCAAATTATTTTCACTTTGTATCCTAGGCTGTCTTATTGAAAGTGTATCAGACTTAGGATTCCAAGTATGACCAAGGACACCAGTATCTTTTCATTTCAGTTCCGTCTTCTTTTGCTATTGAAGAATTTACTTTATCACTGTTTGTAAGCCATTCTCTAAGATTCGTGAAGGCATCCTGGAATATTTGTTTAGATTTCAAATATAGTTCAATAGCTTCAGTTTCTGTTTTTACTCCTGTCACAACGTTGTCAACATAGATGTCATTTTTTATCTTGTTAGCTACTTCTGTATCATATTTTTCTAAATGACTCTCCACTTGGTTTAGTAGAAATGGGCTCGAGATCACGCCAAACGGAACTCGACAAAACCTAAATTCTTGAATATTTTTCAAGTCAGTACTTGGTTATTCACATGATTTTAACCACAGAAAACTTGTCACGTTCACTTTCTTGCAAACCTATTTGTAAAAATGCCTTTTCGATGTCTGCTATAATAGCTATTTTGTGTAGGCGGAATCTCATCAAAAGTCCACATAAATCATGAAGCATCACCGGTCCTCGATGTAAACATTCGTTTAAACTGCTATATTCTGGTTTACATTTTGATGAAGCATCATATACTACTCGTACCTTTGTTGATTTTTGTGGATTTATCACTGCATGATGTGGTATATAATGTATCAAATCACCTTTGGTATCATTCACTTCTTCTATAATACCTTTACTTAATTGTTCCTGAATAATAGAATCATATTTCTCCAACAGTTCCTGGTGTGTTTCTTAACCTTTTTACACACGATTTTAACTGTCCGAATGACAATTCTTTATTAACTGGCAACAATTCCTTTCTCTCTTCTCTCCACGGCCAGGTGACATAATATCTTCCGTTTTCAAATTTCAAAGTATCTTTGAAACCTTCCATGACCTAACCTAACTTGGATGCAAGTAGATATAATCCAGATTGAATTTCTATTCTTTGTGGGAGAACAATATCAAGATAGAAGTCGTTTCCTATTAATAACTCAACACTTGAAAATTCATTTTCCTTTGGAATATTGTCTGCTAGGTCTACACTATGAATTATGTCCTTGATGCCATCTTTTCCTAGAACGTTTATTTGTCTCCTTTGAATAGTTCCACTTATGACAGGAACAATTTTTGCACTTATACTCATATGTTCTCCATTCTTTAATTTTAGCTGTAAACGTTGTCGAATGTGTGTGAACTGTATTTACATCTTTGCTACCAAAAGGTCACCAACTTAATTTCTTCTATCTTTTCCTTTTTTAACTTTAGTTTCTCTGCTAGTTTTTCAGTAATATATGTTCTTTGTGATCCACAGTCTAACAAGAGTCGCACTTCAGCTCGATTATTATTATGAGAATTCAAGATTTCTGTCCTAGCTGTCTGCATGAGAACCATTTCTCCTGAAGATATCATTGCATTTTCTCCAGTTATATAATCTGGCTTGGGTATGTTTGTTTCAATATTGTCTTGTATTGTTTCTTTCGAACAATAGCTGTTTCTCTCCTTACAGCTCCTTTAAACCTTTTCGGGCAAAGACTTCGATGATGTACATTTGATTTGTCACAGTATACACATATTCTACTACTTCTACAGTCAGAAGACGTGTGCCCTTCTCTTAAACATCTAAAGCAGCATCCTTTTAACTTTGACTTTCTTTCTTCAACAGTTTTTGTATCTATTGCATTCATCACTCCAGTGATTTTTTGCTACAGTATCTGCATATCGTCGCTGATGGAAGTAAAACTTTCCTTTTCTCATTCGCAACTAATGCTCCTTCAGAATAGTTTGTCTGTGGTTGGCTTTTATAACGATTTGACATGCTCGTATGTCTATTCGTATGAGGATTTGTTTGTTTATTCACATACTGACTCGAGTCATTCAGAGATTTTGGTTTGTCAGATTTTTCCCTAGAAACTATGTATTTACGAAGCAAATCCCGTAACGTTTTAATACACCATTTAGTACCAGCACTCTTTTGTATTTCAAGTTGAAGAAGAACTTCACTGGGAAGTTTGCTTCTAATCATAGACACAAACACTTGTTGGTCTAAATTTTCATTCATCACTTCTAAGCTGCGTAAATGACGCTCAATCTTGTCGAAAAAGAATCTTAATCCTTCTGTATTATTCTTCGGTGGTAAGATATTCACTATACCTTTGTAATGTAAATCAATTATATCCTGGAGGTCACCGAATCTTTCACGAAGAATATGAATAGCTATATCATAATTCTCATTTGATAATGTCAGCCCAGCAATGGCACTTCTAGCTTCACCTACTATTTTTCCTTTCAAATAATTAAATTTATCAATAGGAGAAAGCTTGTCATTTTCATGTATCGCACTTCGAAAAGAATCCCAGAATTCCGTCCATTGAAGGCGATTTCCACTGAATGAGATCATGTCCAATTTGGGTAATGTCACTGTATTTGTACTTTTATGTTTTAAAGCATGTTGTTCTTCAAAGAACCTTTGTTGTTATTTCCATTTGCTCCTCATTTCTTCTTTGTTGTTTTTCAAAGAATTCCTGTTGTAGTATCAATTGAAGCTCACACATATGCTGTACCACAGTTTCTGCTCCTTTACTTTCTAGTGGTTTGTATTCTACATTAAGCCTTTCATATCTTTTTGAACATTTTCAAGTTTATAAACTATAGTCATTGCTTTGTCCTGTAAGGCTGAATCATTATCCATGACTACTTGTAAGAATTCACTATCACTGTCTCCAATAGCTAATGCAATTTTTTCAGACTGAATAGTAAGTTTTTCCGTGTAATTATTGACTTTTTTCTTGCATTCGTCTATCCTATTTTCTATCCTGCTTGCTCCTCAGCATCTATAAGCATTACATCTGAATATTCAGACAATAGCTGCTCCCCATTTCCAATCTCTGTATCTAAGAAATTGTAAAATCGTGTCCGAACACCTTTTAGATATGACAAGTTAGTATCGCCCATCATGAATTATTTCACTGCCGTATTTCGCTGAATAAAATATGATGCATATAACACTATTTCAGAACAAATATACTTTTTTCTTGTTAATTCTCACCACGTGGCAATAAAATTCCCTAGCTATTCATTGCCTACTTTACTTACAAAGCAGGAATTTATAAAAAAACACTCAAATTAAATATTTTCACAAACATTTCAACTGTAAAGTACAGAACACATGTCTTCATTATGCATATTTCATCACAGAAAATCACACGTGGAAATACAATATCACATTTTTAGATTTTTAGAACTTTACACAAGTTGAAAATATTTCCAAAATTGATTTTCCTTTTTCCATCGAAACACTTTTTTAAATTCCCTCTTTTTTTTAAAACACTTTTCACAAAAACACTCATCCGGTTCGCAGGACCAATTTCAATGTGGTGGAGATTCAGGTTTTACACCAACATTGAAGACAAACTTTTTATTTCTTTTTCAATAAACACTTTATTTTTAATTTCTAACCTTTTATAAACTTTATAATTCTCATTTTAACTAAACATAACACACCGTGTATATTCCAATGACTGTAATGTCCGAATCTAACAAATGCTGTGAAAGGGCGTGTTTATGTAGGCTAATTTACCGCCAAAATATAACATTACAAGAAAAGCAAGAAAAAGTGAGAAAGTGTGGCGTGGAGCAAAGCATAGAAGTATAATTTTCCCGCCTTTCTTATTTTTGGCGGGAAGTTATTATGTACAAAGACGAGGAGCAATAACATATAGCTCATTCATTGATAATAAAATAAACAAAATAATCGTGTATTTCACGACAAGAGTTGAGTTATAATAATTACTCTTTGTTCAACTTTTTTACAGTTAGATTGAGTTGAAATTTTCATATCATCACAGTATTTTTCGGGGTAATAAAAAATACTTAACATGTTTGTGAGTAACAGTAAAATATCATTCTTCGTAAAATTACTATTACCCCCAGCTAACGCCTTAGCTAACACGAACCCATGTGCTCTTTATATACTGTTGTCGTGTGTCAAGGTTTTGAAATATTTAATGGTTTGCTAAGGAAAAAGAAAATGCACAAATTTATGACAGCGAATCATTGGCTCAGGTCATTACTAATATTGATTTTTTTCTTTGTGTGTGTGTTTTGTTTTGTTTGTTGCATGCTGAGCGCCAACCTTTATAAATTGTTTTTGTAATTACATTTCAATCCATTATTTGAAAAAGTTTGCTGGTGGTCATTTTCTGCCATGGGTTGTTTGTTTTTCCTAGCTTCACTTTTGTTTCCTTTGGACAAAAGAAGTGTTTGTTAAGTCATGTACTTTAATATGGCAACGTGTTCTGTTATCAGCGAAATACCGCAATCATGTTTCAGTTTACTCCAATCTCTTTTGGTCTTTACTGCAAATTGAAATGCTTAAAAAAGTAATGACAAAAGAAAAACCAGCCGGATGCTATATCAGCGCATGCATGTGCTTTAGAACAGAACAATCCATGAAATTGATACTGACAATTTACAATATTAAAAGGCTTCTATTGTTACAATAAAAACATATTTTGTAGCAATAGCACAGCTTGTGTAAGATTCAATTTCTTTCTCTGTACAGACAGCAATAGTAAAATCATATTTTATATTCAATTCCCGCCTGTATTCATTTTCATATCAAATTTAAAAAAAAAATCAGGGCCGAGGGGAATGAAACTGATTTGATACCAGGAATAGATTGTTTGTATATCTTCATCAAAATCTCTTCTTTACACTTATTGATTTTAAAATGTTAAAACATAAACGTTGTAAATCGCATTGCCTTTATTGTATATACGTGGTGTAATTAATATATAAATTAAATGAAATTGCTATATAAAGGAAAGAAATACAGTTCATGCTTGACCATTTTGCTTCATTCACAAGCCATTATGGAAAGAAAGTTTCTTATACAGGATTAGATGTAATTAAGTTAAGATTTGGGTGTATAGCTAATCGAATCAAATGTTGGCTATTTACACTTTAGAGATTACTTTAACATGCCGCATTTCTAAAACGTGCTGAATACAAATGTTTATATCTTTATATCTTAATTTTCTAATCAACAGCATACTGACAATTCCATGGGGAAAGTCTTAAAAATATGAATTTTCATTTGATTCTAAAAATGCAAAGATATTCAACAAAAATCTAAACATCAGTTTACGAGATATGAAATAAATGATAATATACACATGTGCAATCAATCAAGATGATGATAACAGCTGAATTCAAGAATGTGCAATAATTTTAATATAATATAACCATTGAACGTTCAGCATTTGCACAACGGCACAACGACATGATCTAGTACAGTCTTGTTTTCATTTCCGAAGCCTAATAGCTTCATATTAATTCATTATTGTGGTGCTACACAATTTCTTCGCAGCCATTGTACACTTGCTCTCTTTTTTGTTGCTGCTTCCATCAATCTACATGTTTCGATTGTTGAACGTAAAAAGAAAAGCTAATCATAAAATCATTTCAAGTGCAATATTTCACAAATTAATGAAAGTCCACTTCTTGAACATTAGTTAGCATGCTTCCACCAGTGCCGTATATCCTTTTTAATGATATTTTCTGTCCAGCTTGTTTCCTGCCATCGATACATATAATATTATGTCTACAAATGTGCTTGTCTGTCATAAAAAAATACAACGTACAGTCATGTTAAATAACAATACTACCTTGAAGTTCTATGTTTCAAAGTTCGCTTACTAATAGGTTGCTTTTTTATTTATTGCCATTTTGCCACTTGAAAGTGTCTTTTTTGCATCATTTTCTCTGTTCAAATACATTTAGAAATATACTTATGTATCCAATGTTATTTTATTAAATGCATTTTCTTCTAGTAATGGCACAAATCTTTACAGAAACATTGTTTTTATCAACCTATCTAAAGAAAAGAAAACATTATCAAGTTATTTAGAATATTCATTTGTTACCCTTGATAGCATAGGCTCTTTATAAAAAGAAAATATTGAAGAAAAACGACAGTCTGCACGAAGGAATCATCTTATGACAGAAATACAATACCACAAATGCTATAATGTTTTTATATGTATTGAGTAAATACGGGGTTGGCATTTCCATATTGCTTTAACGTTAACGTTAAATTGATAGTAGAAAATCCCTGTATTTTCAAACTTAGATATTATATTGATATACTACATTGTGTATTTATGTCATATTTTGTCCATATATTGAATTTTATTATAAAGAAATCGATTACGTTGACAATTTTAGTCATTAGAGCCCCGAGTAAATAGAGTGACGATACAGATCAGGATGACTGCCTGTCTATATGCTTTAGATAGAAAAATAAGTAAGGTTAAAATAAGATTACAATAAATAGTAAATGATTAAAATTAAAGTAAATTAAAACTAAATTAATCGTATCAGAAAAAAGGTATTTTCAGCAAAACTTCTCTTTAGTCTATGTATTTATATTGTTTGATATCAAAATATATTTTCATTGACATTGTTATGTAAATATTTCGTTAGTATCATTTTAAATGGACTTTTTATTGTCACATTTTTTAATTATTCGTGAAAAATACATTATTTTGAAATTTATGATTTATGGCGAGGGAAAATAACATAACGAAGACATAAAATATAAGAATTATGTATCATTGATCATTGATAAAAAAATGATAAAAGAAAACCGGTGTATGTTCGTTGATATTTATTTCATATAGTTAAAGTGTGTAGATTGATCTTTTTCAGAATTTCAAATCTTATACTTCAAGCCTTTTTGATATCAGTGGAACTCTAATAATGTCATTTTTATAATAAATTAGAAATAAGGTAATAAATTAAAGATGATCGACTGATAAGACAGAGTCACGTGCATAGAATGCAGTCCTTAATGCCTGATCCAAATATAGCAAAAAAACAGGATCATAGCAAAGGTAACCAACAAGTCACAAAACACATAAGGAAATAGGTTAGGATGTAGATCACCAACAGAAACTCTACTTTTTATACAATTTGTACTCATATGAATATATGTTGTATCATAAAACACTATTTTTGTTTTGGCTAGTCTTAGACTGTATTAGGCATTGTTTAATCAAAATGCACATTTAATATCTTCTTTCTTAATACAGTTACATCAGTCCTTCTAGAGTACTAGTTTTATGGCCATTCAATCGGAAAGTCAAACTATATTGGCATGTACGCTCTGGGTTTTCTTTAATAAAAAAGAAGAAATACGAGACTGAAACAACACATGTAAGATAACGCCATATTATTTTTGTGATACACCTCTGTAACTGTATCCAATTAGAAAGATTTCTGTTATCATGTTGAACGCTCATTAAAAAGATATATTATATTTCCCGTATCAAAACCTCATTGTAAACGCTATGAAAGAATCAATTTTAAGGACATTTCATTATTAAAAGTACATCTCATGAAAACGCTGATGATTGTTCTGCATTATCTATCGAATTAGAGAGGACAAATGTTTCGCAATTAATATTTATTTTCATCTATGATATTTAACGACAACCAATATAATTACGATATCCAATCCAGAAATTGTTAAAAATAAACTCAAGGTAAAGAGGTTTTTTTATAACTTGCTCATGTTATAATGTAATAAAATATTACTGTATACGCTAACTGAAATTATCCTTTTATTGTCATACTAGCATTTCAATAACGTAACAAAATACCATTCCCATATACGAAGCCTTAAACATGCAATCTTAAAATATGACGCAAATTCTAAATGCACTTTGTAAATTAAGATCAACACGTCTTTACTAAAAAGCTACAATGATTTAACAATGTACGTGTTTATTTCAAATAAAAGTATATTCTATTTAAATGAAACTTCACTATGATAGCACTCTATGAGCTTTTGCGTTTTCATTTTAGGTATAATTATAATTATTATTTTTTAGTCCAAAACCACCTCGGCATTGTTTTTTCTCTGACTTTCCATTTATGTTCACATAATGTATTTATGATGGTAATCGTACGGTTTAAAATATTGCAAAAATGTTCATCAAAAACAGGACAAACAATTTCAATCAATAAACTTTACAATTTTCATTAAAAGTAAAAATCTAAGACCTTTTTGTCTTTTGCAAGTAATAAAAATTATTGTCCAATCAAAATTTATGCTTAAAATAGTAATGTAGATAGAATTAAACTCTCGCAATGGTTGTAGCCAGGCGTCAGTTATTTGCACAAAAAGCAAACTAACAACTATTAAATTGATGAAGAAAGCAACTGACAAGATTACAAAAACTTGAATTGTTACAGATGAACAGAGTGTGTACAAAGCACAGCTTGTGTTGGATTTATTTTCTTATTATTTCAGAGAAAGAATAATATTGTTATATTATATCAAAATTTTATTGTATAATTTAGTGTCCATTTTCAGATTAAAGATAATCCTATCAAATTCAAGGGAGGGCTTTTAAACCGATTTGGAACTGTGCACAATATTTTGTATTTCTTTACATTTATTTTTTGTTCTTACAAGCTCTAGATTTTTAAAGGCAAACTATGCCACAGAATATAAGCTGTTTATCCTTTTTTAGAAACGTTACATGTGTTTAATTACATTTCAATTATGGTTTTAGAGCATGTTATGTGCCAATCACCTGAATAAAGTAGCATTGAACAAGAAATTATTTGTCATAAAAGTAGCAAAATGTAAACAAGTGAGTTGTATTTTGTCTTCCATTCAAAATACTAAATAACTATATCTGTACTAATTGCCAAAAGAAAAACAGAAGCAAAAGATGGTTTAAATAATTGGTCACATTAAATAACTTGTTTTAGGAAACGATAACAGGACATCAGGAAGAAAAGGTTTTTGTGAAATATAAAGCATTTTAAGGGCATAATGGGCCTATATTCTGTATTATAGATACTTCCGTTTATGCTTATAATACTTATGGTAATCCAAATAAATTAAAATCATAATTCAATACATTGTTATAAAAATGAAGTTCATAAAATTTGTATAGAACACTTATTACAAAAGCAATAATCTTCTTTGTGTCCTTTTCTTAAAAACAACATTGTTTGAACGGCGATTGGTGTTTAACCATTACAATTATCTGCATTTTGTTTAATATGATTTACTTATTCGCTCCATTCATATGTCATTTTTGTTGATGATTAGCTGTAAGTACGTTAAGGTCCAGTTTATAGGTCATCAAAAATATTTTCGCTTATTAATGCGTTACTCATTGGCTATATCAATTTAAGTGAATTAAGTTTGCGACAAAAATTGTAAATCATGACTATTGTTATTTCTTATATGTTTACTTTCAATCAACCGAATATATTGGATCTGATGATAAATGGGAAAGTAGAGAAATGTGACTAATTGTTATACTTGTGGCTATATACATCACGACTTCACCACAAATATAAATTTCATTATATATGATGTATAAAAACACACACATATCCAATTGAAAATTAAAGTTTATTCACATTATCATAATAATTAATATCTGAATACATATATGTATATTTAAAACAATCAAATTTTCGAAGTAAAGAACCTAAAACACGAAAACAGTTTTTTTATTAAAACAAAAATCTGCAAACGATCTGGAACTCATAATTTATACATACATCACACGTATATGCATTTTAATACTTTATTAGTATTAATTATACATATTAATATGTATATACAATATATACCAATAAAACTAGGTCAAGCAAATTAAGTGTTAAAAATAAATTCCGTAGGAATTCCTAGTTACGTACACTGTAACTGCGAAGTTGCTGAATATGTGATTAAACCATAACCGCAAATAAAAACTGTTTTTGTCGTTGTTTATTTTGTCAAAACAATAATTGATTGGCTAGTCAAATCATATTAAATTTTATACTGAATGATATTGTACTCATAAAATGGCATGAAAATTGCAATGCTTTAAGAAACTAAATAATTGTTCCAATATTTATTGAGATCGTTTTACTTATTAAATTTTGCAAACAAAACTTTTTTATATACTTTTACAAAATGATACAGCAATACGAGGAATTAAAACTTATAGAAAAATGTAGTTATTACATTAATATACTGATTAGTGACACTTATCAATATAGTACTTAATTTTTATCTGTCTTTATTTCAAACCACTGCTGGGGACCCTGAATATGCTGCTCATATAGCAACAACTTTTATACTTTTAAGATAACGCTTTATTTGAACTAATGCAATAAAACTGCAAGACACTTTCAAAAACACATGTTAAGTGTATCGCGACGGCCATGGTAGTCCCTAATTCATTCATTTGCAAAGTCTATTGATATATAATATTGATTTATACCAAAGAAAGATACAGGCAATTTGTAATTGTGTTATGTCTTGCAATAAGAAACAGAACAAAATAGGTTGAATGTCATAAAACAAATTTATCCAATTTTGAGTATCATATCATGCTTTTCAACTGTTGTTGTTGCTAAATCTAACACCTACTCCACTTCTTGTTCCCGAGAATGTCATGCGGTATGAGCTTGTTCTTTGAAATTGCCTTTGCAATTTACGACATCGAAAACAAGATCGAAGCAGCACTTCTTTAAATGCTTTTCTGAATGTCTCTGAAAATAAAATAAAAATGTAACAGGCAAGTTAGAAGGTTTACATTTTAACTCAAAGAACATACTATTTGGTTTTTTAATTTCATGACCAAATGGTCCAAATTTAGTTATATCAATAACGGTTAAATCGATGCATAAAACAAGTTTCATTTGCTATCGGTGCTTTAAGGCCTTGTGATATGTTTGTATTAACAATTATATATTAAATTCATGAAAATAAAGACTTAAACCAAGTCTGCGATTTTCAACTTAACTTCTTGCTTATGTTTAATTGACAAAGATAAGCAGAAGAAAATCTCAAAAGGTATGTCTATAATTGCATATTTTGTAACATCATTTATGCAGAACAACTATATAATATGGAGTATAAAAAATCATAATCAGAATTTGTCAATAGCAACCTTTCGAATACACTAGTATGTAATTCTACTTTAGTGCTGCAGGACTTTATAACTTATACGAAGACATTTCGTTTGTACACTTTAAAAAGGTTATGTATTTACATTGTTGAAAAATGCAAGGGTTTAAACAGTTCATATAGAAACACCTACCGCTCATAAAATTATAGATGACTGGATTAACGCAGCTATTGAAGAATGTTGCCCAGTGGGCAAACAATGCAATCACGCGTTTGTTAGGCACTTTTTGGAGCTGTCCTGTATATCTGCAACAGTTAGATTTTTTTTTACGATTGATAAAAATCACAGAACGATTTAATTGCATACTGAAAGCATCATTTTTTGGTAATAAAATGTAACGGGAAATGATGTTTTGCTATAAATTATAGAAAAATATATAGTAAGATAAAATAATGGAATGTCTAATCTTTTATCCAACTAAATTTAAATGAAATGTGTAAATTGTATTTTATTTTATCTGCAGTCACACAAACACAGGCAATTGTCAAGCTTAAATACTGGAGGACGACCTCAGGTGCTCTTCCTTGCAATGTTAAATGACCTACTATTGATATAGTACATGTAACTGTTAAAGATTTTGAAAAAAAATCCAAAGGCTGATCTTACCGTAGTATATTTAGGGTATGATTCGGAAGAAAACACAGGGCAAATACAATAACAACTGCCACCAACATCCGAACAGCTTTCCGTCTGCTTTCTGTCTGCCCGACATTTTCATGAACTCGGATACTTCTTCCAATCATTGGTTTTCTTGCCCCTGTGAAATATAATTATGTTTATCGTCAACCAAGGAAATACATAGATTCGTTTAAACTGTAAAAACGAACACATTCTAAAATAAACATCCTCTAATATTGAAGTGTTTAAACTCTGCTTAACATAAATGCTAACAGGCGTAGATACTAGCTTATATTTACAATACCGTATTTGACAACAGTTTTGGTTGTTCCATTTTGACTGAAGTTTTCCATTTTATCTATAATTGTAAAACTTTGAAATAGTAGTGCATCTGAACATTACATAAAACAAGTTTTATCTAGACAAAGAATATAAATTTTAATGGAAGCAACCATACAATACTTCAAATGACAATTAATATGCATTAAACAATTATATGTTAAACACGGATAGTATAAGGTCAGTCACCTATATATCGGACACTATAGCCATAGACCACACAGAGAAGCTATTCGATAACAACGAAGAAAGTTGTGTGTGAGATATAACAATTTTTAGAATTTTATAAACGTCACAAATTCGTGCGAGAAAAAAAAACGTCTGTATTTTTGCTGCTGTTAATATTAAAATATTATCTAAGCTAAGTATGATTAGTAAAAAGAAATCTGAAATTGATATTTTTATTTCCGACATTATAATAAAGAAGCTGTTCCATATCATTTATGTAAGGATCATATGTTTAAACAGATTTGTAATTGATCAATTTGTATTGTGTGACCTTCTGTTGTTTGAACTCATTGCATATATAATGTTATATACGTGTAAAACTTGCTGATAAAGACTATGCAATATATATATATATATATATCATCTTATTCCTAGCACGTCATAGCTGCTTCCATTCTGTGTCCGTGTTCAACCTACTTTCTTGAATACAATGCTAAAATGTCCTACACCATGACATTTCTACATTGCTACTTAACAGAAAATTAAGCCTAGAAATTTATACATTTTTCTTTCTATAGAAACGGCAACATGTGTTGTATTATATAAAAATGTACTTTTATTGTAATAAATGTGACACAATTCGCGACAAAGGTAGCAAAATGTAAACAACGTTGCATTTTGACTTCATACAAATCACTAAATCACTGTAAGCACACGGACAGTAATAGCCAAAATACAAAAAAGGCTCAATTGTATGATCAATAAGTAAACATTTGGAAATCTCAGTAGGATTCAGAATAGAAAAGAAATACAAATATAAACATCATTGAGGCTTAATTTTGTCTTTAATATATCTATATTGGGATAACAGTAACTGTTGTAAATAAAATACACAACTATGAGGCACTCCTTTTTTCTTGCAACAATGTTTTCTTTGAAGATTTTAAGATATAAGAAATACTTGTCGTTATTTGATTGCATAGATTTTGAATTACTCTTTAATGAATCTACTTACTATGATTTGCATTTTTGTATATTATTTATGTAAAGACAAATAAAGGTGTAAAAGGAACAGGGTATTACCCTATCAGTATGAAAGTGTAGTTATGAGAATACAAAGGAAGTAAAACATTTACTTATGTTCATACTTAGCTCAATTGATTCCGATTCTGAAATGCTTCCTCTCCATAAAACTAACGAAATATGGATATAACTGAAGGCCATCATAGCAATAGGAAGGAAATACAAGGCCACCATGAGACATATCTGGAAGATGATGATGTTCTTTTCATCCCAAAGGGCTGGATAGCAAGAAGACAACAGGACCGTGTCGGATCTCAATGGTATCACTGTTGAGGTGATGAGTTCTGGAATTGCGATGCATGTTTAAAGTAATCCCCTATACCCGTAATGATAATTTTTTTCTCGCGGACGGTCATGGAAAAGTAAGGGGCAAAGGCAACCCTCGTTTAAAGGAAAAAGGCATAGTTCATCAAATTTATTTCGGAAAATTTTCCCAATTTTTTGAAAAAAAGAAAAAGTGCTTTTTTAAAGACATTTCTAGCTTTAAAAAGGACTTGAATCCCGTAATGCAAAAATGTCTTATAATTATAATTAATCATTCTATGAAGACCCGAAAAATTATGATTTTTAAAAACTTTTTGATTTTTTTAAAAAAAATGAATAGCAAAAATAATTTATTATTTAGGTAAAGCCCTAAATTAAATTTTGTACAAAATATGATAATTACATAACAGCCCACCATACATGTATATCTTTCTTTCTTATTCAATAAACAGTGAAAAATTGTAATATCTTGCCAATATGACAAAACGTTGTATTTCAAACAAAATCATTAAATGAGATATTTTGAAAATCAATGTTTGAAAACAAATAGACACCTGTCATTAAATCTCAGTAACAATGTTCAATGTATCTAGAAACGGTTTTATCATTTATATATCCTTATAGATTTTATAAGTTGTTTCATATGTACAAGTTTTACAGCTGGTTCGTGTTCAAATATTAAGTTGAAGGAAGCAACCGAAATGTGTACCACACTCATTTTCATTTGAGATTCAAACAGTAAATTAAAGACATTCCTAACATAAGTTAATAATTTCCTGATGTCTTACTGATGATTGTACTTTGCAAGCATTAATTATATAACATTAAAGTCAATAAATTGAAAGAAAAAAAAATATTATGAAATTATAACGAATTATTATCGTTACTTATAAAAACAACAAATACAAATGTATATAAAAACATGAATTAAAAAGGTATTTTATTACAATATATCTAGTTATGTGCTGTACAGTGTTGCCTTAAAAACATAATATAAAGTTTACATATTTTTTGCTCATTATATATATTTTAGGAAAACCAGGAAGGAGCGTATTCTTCTCGTGAAAAAATCTCACAAGAATGACGTAATACTGTTTGTAATCGGAATCTGTTGTAAATAAACACGGACGTTTTTACAACGCTATCAATTTATATATGTGAAAAAGGTATCGAAAACGTAAGGGGGATAATCAGAAAAAGCTACATATTTTAACCCAAAGAAAATAATTTTACCGGGGCCGAAAAGGGGAAAAAATGAATTTAATTTTTGGGAATTTAAAATTTCAAAATTTTTTTAAAATTTGATCATAAAAAAAGTAATAAAAACGCCCCGTGGCAAAAGGGATACAAAAACGTTTTTATGCCAAAGGCAAGGGGCTTTCATTTAAATTTTTTTCTTTGGAAAAAGATGATTATTTTTTTCTCTATCTGGGTCAAAAAAATTAAAAAGAAATTTTCAATTTATTCCCTAAAGAAACCCCCTTTTTATTGATATTAATTATTTAATTAAAGCATGATGGCTTTGCATTGATGGATTTAAAAATCAATTTAATTCAAGAGAAACGTCTGCTGTTTTATAATCCGATTGTGTCGTATTGCCGTATGCTGGTCTAAAACACAATAACATTCATTATTTCAGATAATGTTTTTTATTTATTCAAAGGAAGAAAAACAACATCACAACATTTATCTTTGTAATGACATTTGAATCGATCAGAACAAAAAGTGGGCTTAGTTTGAATTAAAGCTTGCTGTCTTCAGATAATTCCAAGGCGATTCATCACATAATAAAGCATATTATTCCCACCGGGGAGTTACCTTTTGTGATGTCTAGTCGAAGTATGAAAAAATCAGCCCTTATATTCGAAAAAACAAAACATAATTATCACGTGTTTTAATTAGATGTCATACCAATATGCACATGTGTAACCATTCGCGGACGCGGGTTATCTTAACCAAAGTGACACTTTAGTTTCGTTTGTTTGGTTTAACGACGTACCAAAATATTACATGTCATAATGCGCCGGGGAGATGATTTTGGCTTAATTATTAGCCGTATTAACTTTTTTCTAAGCTTGATTGTCTGATAAAGTGCCATAAAATACCATTATTTAAACCATATCAGGGCCCTTCATAGATTAATTCGTATAATTACTTTTTGACAAAATAATCAGATCCCAGCAAACACTTCTGAAGCCACTATGAATAAATTTCGGAATATTCCTAGTTAACATTCTGGAGCGGATACGGGATGTGAATGAGAGTGGCCAAAATGTCTGTTAATAATATCTTTAAACAGAAGAACACTTATTTTAGATACTGTGTTCTCTGATAAATGTATATAGGACAGCGACTTTACTTGTAATGAGTAGCGATAGCTTCAAGAGCAACTGTGAACAATTTTGGAATAAACCGTAGCTACTGTCGATAAAGAGAGACACGCCCACAGCCCCTTTTACGCGGTCAGAAAAGCGGTGTTTGTCAGAAATAAATCAAGTAAACGCTTCAAAAATATGAAGCAAAATTGTTTGATATATATAGTAGATATAAGTCTTGGTGTGAAAATATTTTGACTTTATATATGGAAATTAAGATATTTGTAAGGCAGTACAAATTAGGTATGCAAAGTAATATACATGTACTTGTACTACGGTAGGATAGAGAAGCACTGAGCACGTGTATTCAAAAGTTGAATGAAATACAACATTTTAAAAAACTGCATTTTCTTCACAGTTAAGAGCTATTTTAAGTTCGATATACGAGGGATGATCAAAAATTAACCGGTCTTTGTAAATGATTCTTTACCTGTTAAATGAATTAACATACAAATACACGGAACATAAATCGGAATCTATCCCCTGAATGATACAAAAAATACCAACAAGAAATGTTAACAAAGAAAAAAGTTATGCTGTTATTTGCATGTACATGTAAAGCAATGCGGCGCACGGTAACTTTGAAATTGACGTTAACGACGTCACTAACGAAGCAGCTTTTTACTCATTCACGGAGTAGGCCAATACGTGGTTAAGTCATGTTGTTGATGTATGACAAATAATGTAAAATAATGTTGCTGAATGATAAGGTATCATACATAAGAAAAAATAAAAGAATAATACAACTTTGAACAAAATAGTCATTATTTTAAAATAAATTTAGACGATTTTGAACAGTGACTGTCTAATTGTTCACACAATTTCTCCATGTAAGTACTGCGTTAAATAAGAAAATAATTGTTACAATTGTCAACCAAGAATACAATATATGTCATCAATGCATATTAACTATTATCATTCTAAAATCCTTAGAGTTGACTGCACCGTCCCGTAGCTACTGTCGAACATCGTTGACAATGTCCGCATTCAATCGACTTTCATCTTTCAACGTCTTGGCGATTAACGTCACCAACGTCCTTGAAAATTTCTTTTTCTGTTTCTCCTTAACTTATTTTCTTTTACTCTATTACCCTTTCTTAATTATTTATGCTAATCAAAAAATATGCTGCAGCTTTCCGGAACATTTCTCTTGATAGTCATACTATTTTTCTACGTTTTTAACAGTTTTTCGTCTTACTTTGGCAAATTTTTCTTATTGATCGATTTTCGAGACATTCCGACGATACAGTTTTAACGGGAGTATTTCATTAACGTGTGACGTTTGAATTGGGATTGCAAATATAAATATGGATTAAATGAAGTAATTTTTTTGACAACATCAAAGATATGGTTCATGACGTTTTGGCGTATTTTGAAATCTTAATGTGCCATATTGTAAAATATACGGACAAGCTTTTTGCGTTATCAGATTAGATAAAGCATCAGTTTACAGGTATTGTTTTCTGATTAAGTGTGATATATAACAATAAGTGATAGGTTGAAAATTCTTCGATTGACAGTCACAGTCCGGTTTATTTTTGATCATCCCTGTATAATCTTCTTACAATCAAATACGATTTTATTTGTCTTACGTTTTTGCTAAGTGACAAGAATCATGACTCAAAAGCTTTTTGTAAGAGTCATTGTTTTTCAATAAAATAAAATAACTTCATACTCTCGTGTTTGTCTATATAGTGTTTAACGCGAAAATGCACAGTACTTTTACTTGTTATATTTTTTTCTAAATTTAAAATTTCACCATTTTCATTTTTAAATGTTGAATTCTGCTTAAAGCGGTGCTAAGGGGCGTGGACGGTAGTCTGCATTAGACAGTACCGTCCATCAACAAGCTCAATAAACCTAATCTGCAAAAGTTTCAATTTTGCCGTTTTGGACTTTAGGGTTTATTGGACTTTAGGGTTTACCATTTTCTCTATTTCTTCCTATCCAACGTACGTGTCCATCTTTCAATCTTGACAAAACATTTGTCATATTTCGGGAACATTTTAAAATAGGTACCTACTAAAAAGCGAGCAGTACGAACCATTTTCTTGTTCAACACTGTTCGCATATTAACTGGAACGATTTCTTTTTAAATACTATATTGTCGATTATGCGTGTGTGACATGTTTGAATGCCAACATATTTAATTCACAAATGCGTTTTATTAATAACTTTGAAAAACAAGATCATTTGTTTTCTCTTTTATTCATTCATACAAGTGTGTGACAGATGTTAAGTGTAAATGAGGTATCAAATCAATTTCATTCATTTTGGGATAACAAAAAAAAACAATGAAAAATTACATTTTGAGACAAAAAGCTATTGCTCTAAGCTGGAATCATATATCAACATCTGTTTAAGAAACAGCAATTAAAAGAGAAACAAAAGAAAATATCAACAATGGAGACCACCGACATTCACTTTATCAAGCTCCAACAATACTTTGCTTTACGGTTTTTTCATTATCATATCTATTACAACATTAAATCGATTTTGTTTGACTGTTGTTTTGTATAACATTATGTCACACTGTCATTGTTCATTGTCAGTTGTCACATGGCGCCTTTTCAGATTACCTTGGCTGTCCCTATTGTGCATTATTTCACGCACGAGCTGGCACCTGAATATAACCAACAATATCCCGCAAGTTGGCTT